ATTGTTCTGGAAATTTCGTGCTGCTATTGGTGCGTGTTGCATTTTTAAAGTTAAAACGGAGTGATTTTGTGCAGTCTTTATTTCCATTTACGCTTAACTCAATAGCTCCTACGCAATCATCATTTTTAGGAAAATTGAACGGTGGTGTTATTACGGCAATCTCAAACTGGCAATTGGTACAATCTCGCCCAACAGTACTTTGTGCCACAAGTCGCAAATAATATTGCTTTCCAATAACTAATGGTTTTAATAAATAAGACGTATCTGATAGCGAAAAATTTTGGTACGTGTCGGTTGCTGAAAAAGCACTTTCCACGGGAATTAAAAATACCGTTCCATAAGGGGCTGTTTTATTGGCATCATATTTTAGGGCTAATTTATGTACCGTAGAAGTTGCGGTAAAAACATACCAAATATCAGGTGATTTATATTCATTTTCACGAATTTTGGTATAATTAGCCCAAGTAAAATCGGCTTTTTGCCAATATTTGGGGGTGCTGGTGGTGTCGGCTTGTATTCGCGTAGCGGTTTTATAATCATCATTGGCTGTTAGGGGTGGTGTGGTAATGCTAATCGTAAACTTGATGCGCCCACGCCCTGTAGAGTATAAATTGATGTAATACAGATTTCCTTTAACCACCTCGTATTGAGCGGACTGATTGGTAAGACACGCTACAAAACGCATAGAGCCATCACTTTGTACCCCCCATAATTCTGCTGCTAACCTGCCGCTGTCATATATCATTTCTTCCACATTTTTAAGGGCAATTTCGTGATAATTGCTTTTAGCTGTAAATTTAAACCATACATCATCATCTCTGTAGCCACTACCACATTGACTGTCATATATGGTCTCACCACTTGAATATCCATTCAAAGCAGTTGTTGCATTGACCACTTTTTCGGCAATAAGTCCATCGTTAACAGGGATTTCTTGGGCAGTATTTGGGCTTGTATTGGTTACTTTTAGTACGGGTGTACTAACACACAAATCAAAGTAAAATGGGCTTGATGCTTCGTGATTTACAAGGCGAACTCGGTATTTTCTACCAACAGATAGCTTTTTCAGCGTAATATTATCCGCATTAGTTACCGTTTTTTCTACAAAAAAATTATACGGGCTTCCTAAGCTACACGTATCATGTCCTGCTACTTGTATGCGTAGCCCGCCTTGTAATGCTGTATTTCTTTGAACAATGTTGTTGATATAGAGCGTGTGTGTCGTTTGTGTAGGAATGAAATAAAACCAAACATCATTTTCTTTACTATCAAAATTGGTCGTAGGATATGCCCCATAAGTAGTACCTGAAACCGATTTTTCACACGTCCAACCTGGATTTACGGGTATTTGTAATGGCGTACACCTATCATCATTGGCGGGCGGTGGTGGTGGCGTAGTAACACAAATAGAAAAAGTAACATCATCTATCTTATTCCAGTTGCGAATCCATACGTAATAATCTTTCGTCACATCAAAATTGGAGCCTTTTATGGTGCTTTCGTCAGAAAAACTATTGCTCACATCTGTACAATACATTTTGCCATCAGCACCTAAATACCCAATTGACATGAGCAAATGTGGAAAACTAGTCGCTGATTTTGCATTGCTTACATTTATAATCTGCCGTTTGCTTTTGGGTCTAAATTTGTACCAAACATCTGAATACAAACCATTACCGCAAGAATTATCAAGATTATCCGAACTTGCCGTTGCTGAAATCAATGTGCCTTTTAACGGCGAGGAGCAGGATAATGTCGAAGAAGGCTCTATAAGTGTGGCATTTTTAAACTCGTCGTTGGGTGGCGCAGGAGGCAATGTTGAAACACATAGCTCAAAATCTGAGTTATAAACCTCGGAAGCATAAACCCGTACATAGTAGGTCGCGCCCACTTTAAAACGGTGATATTTCAAAAAACTATCATCTGAATAAGTGCCAATATTACAATTAGCAGTCGTTTTTGATAAAGAATCTTGGTGAAAAACGGCAAAACCTAAGTAATTACCCACCGAGTTTAAGCGCGTCAAACGTATTTCATGCGCCGTAGCAGTAGCTACAAAAGAATACCATACATCTTTAGGAAAGCTATACCCTGATGAAATAGTTTCACAACCAAAATTATGCAAAGGTGATGTTGCATCTACCAACGAGCCTTTTGCTATATTTTTGCAATCATTGGGGCTATTCATGCTCAATTTAGTGGCAGTAGCAGGCGTGTCATTGGCTGGTAGATTGGTTGGCGTATCGGATTTTGTAACACAAATATCAAAAGTATGACCTTCTATTTCTGTAAAACTGCCTACTGTCCCCACGCGAATATAATAAATGCTATTTGGGGTAAAATGATGATAGGTCAAAGAATCCGAGTCGGGACGACCCAAACAAACAATTTTTCCTAAATTATTCAATTCCCAAACATCAAATTTTATCTGACTACCACCATAAATAGGCGTTAAAACGGATTGCACATTCTTTAAAATAATACGGTGGCTTCTACTGGTCGTCTTAAATTTGTACCAAACATCATTATTTTTCTCAAAACAGCCTTCCGAAATAGTGGAAATAGTAGAAGACTGCGTACTACCTTTGATTGCATTGCACGTCGTTGAGGTACTGGAAGTTAGCGCGATTGCTCCGGTAGCATCATCATTAGTGGGCGTAGGCGGCAATTTTTTAAGACAAATGGTAAAATCTTTGCCTGTATATGAATTTTTAGATACGCGAATGTAATAATCTTTGCCAATTGTAAAATTATTTGAAATTATTTTGTACGGAAAATAATCGCTTGGGCAAGCAAACGGTGGTGAGCCTAATGTATCTTTATAAACAGCCACTTCCAGTTGCGTAAAATAGTCTTGTTCGTGACTTATTTCGATAGCATAATTGCTTTGTGTTGCTCGAAATTTATACCAAACATCATCACTACAAAAAGAAGGCGTGAAACAGCCCAAAAGTTTTGGAGTAGCCGTCGCGCCCACCAGTGTTCCCTTGGTGGGTTGTGTGCAATTATCTGTTGCTTGCAAGACAATCGCCCCTGCTGGCTCGTCGTTGGCTAAAAAAACAGGCGTAGGCACTGTTTTTACGCAAATATCAAAAGTGCTTGTACTCCAATTTTCCAAATCAAAGACTCTAATTTGATATTCGCCACCCACTTTAAAATGATGATAAGTAAACAAAGAATCATTCGGATTCAGACAACTTAAAGGCACAACCACGCTTGTATCCTTTAAATAAACATCTAACCTGATGCTTTTCTGGTATAGAAGATTATCCTTGATAATGTGCCGAATTTTGGTCAATGAAATCGTATGACTACGGTTTGTTGCCTTAAATTGAAACCAGACATCATGTCCTACATCAGAATTGTTCGCAAAAGAATTGGTTGCACCCAAAGTAGTGCTACTCACTATTTTTTTGCAATCAGCGGTACTATTGACCTCAAGCACTTGGGCTTTGGCGCGGGTGTCATTGGTCGGAACTGGAGGAGAAGTCTGGCTATAAAGGGAGGATGTGCAGCAAAAAAGCAAAATCAGTGCAAAAATGCGATAAGCAAAATTGTTCATGCCTTGGGTATAATTTTGAGTTAAGAAAACCTGCAATTATTACGTTATAACAAAAAAAATGTTTTGTGTAGATGCTTAAAATTTTCATTTTTTGCAAGAACTTATTTTTATCACTAAAAAGAACTATATTCGCGTTGCGGATTGAGATATTTGTCTGTTTTTTCAATTTTAAAAAATTGCTGTCTTTTTGCCATCGATCCTAATTAATAACAAATTGCTAAGGTAATGAAACCACTTATTTTAGTTACCAACGACGACGGTATTTTCGCGCCCGGCATTCGTGCATTGGTAGAGGTTGTAAGCCAAATTGGAGAAGTTGTTGTAGTAGCACCAGATTCACCTCAGTCAGGCAAAGGGCACGCTATTACAATCGAAAATCCTTTACGTTTACACAAAGTTAAAGTTTTTGAAAGTATTGAGGCTTATGAATGTACAGGAACGCCAGTAGATTGTGTAAAACTCGCAAAATCGGTTATTTTAAAGCACCGAAAAATAGATTTTTGTGTATCGGGCATCAATCATGGCTCAAATGCTTCCATCAACATTATTTATTCGGGTACGATGTCGGCAGCCATGGAAGCAGCAGTAGAGGGTATTCCATCTGTAGGCTTTTCTTTGTTAGACTATTCTTTTGATGCAAACTTCGAGGAATGTAAGCCTTTTATACATCAATTGGTATGGAGGGGTTTGAAAGATGGACTTGGAAAAGCCAAATTACTCAATGTGAATATCCCAAAATTAGCAAAAGAAGCGATTAAAGGCATGAAAATTTGTCGGCAAGCCGCAGGACATTGGGTTGAGGAGTTTGTCGAATCGCGCGACCCGCGAGGGCAGCCTTATTACTGGCTAACGGGCAGTTTTGTCAACCCCGATGACGGTGAGGATACAGATATTTGGGCGTTGCAACATGGCTATATTTCTATTGTGCCTTCTACACAAGATATGACAGATTATTCTGCCATTGACTCGCTAAAATATTTAGAAAAATAAGAATATCCAGCCACTCATTTGAAAACTGCTTGTATAAAATACATTACATAAAATTTTGAAAATCAATAAATTATACGATATTACATAACCTTGAAAAATTATAATATGTTTTAAACAGAACGACCGCCACGATGTATCGTAGGCGGTCATTTTTTATACAAAAAAAACGAATGTTATGTTTAAATCTATTCCAAACGGAATGAAACAGGCAGCGTAAACCACACTTTTACTGGTTTACCACGTTGTTTACCTGGCTTCCATGCTGGCATACTTTTTACAACACGTTCTGCTTCTTCATCGCAACCTCCCCCGATACCTCTCAATTTGGTAACTTGTGAGATTCTACCACTTTCATCGACAACGAATTTGAGCACTACTTTTCCTTGAATACCATTTTCGCGAGCAATAGCTGGATATTTAATATTTTCATTTAAATATTTCATCAAACCGCCCATGCCTCCCTCTGGAAACTCAGGAGATTGCTCTACGACTGTAAAAATTTCAGGCTCTTTCGGCTTTTCTTCTTCCACAACTGGCGGTGGAGGTGGAGGTGGCGCCTCTTCATTTTTTCCTTCTACCAAAGAAGCACTCGCACCATCTTTAGAACCTTCTACTGTTTTTTTGCTGATATCGACATCTTCCTTTAGTTTTTCTTGGCTTGCAGGTGGTTCTTCATTAACTACCTCCTCATCTTTCTTTACTTCAGGTGGTACGTATTTTATAGTAGCCTTCGCTGGTGGCGGTTCCTGTGGCGGTGGTGGCGGTGGCGGTGGTGGCGGTGGCGGTGCATTTTGGTCTTGAGGTAGTTCTAATTTGGACATATCCACTTCAACGACCGTTGTTTCCTTTTTATTCGCACCAATGACCCCCCTGATTTTATCAGCAATCAATGGCGCAGAAATTCCTAAGAGCACCAAAACTCCTCCGGCAATTAGAGCGTTGCGGATATGCTTTTGGTAGATGCTACGTAGCAAATACGCACCATAAGACTTATTTCTGCCTTCAAAGACGATATCGTCAATGTGAGCAGCGAGCACCTTTTGCGGATCCATGTATGATTTTTGTTTAAAAAATTATCAAAAAAATATTTTTAATTCCCTATAAAAATAAGACACTATTTTTTGTGTATAAGTTCCCATTTTAGATATAAGAAATTTATTTGGGTGCAGCAAGTCCTTTTACAGCACTATACACCAGCAGCGAATCCTCTTTAGATAAATCGACCATAGCAAAACGCTTGACTTGCGCGACCGAAACTTCATCTAAAATATCCACCATGTTTTTATAATTAGAACGTTGCATCGGCTTTATCAATAAAACCAAGGAGTCGCGATGTCCCCATTGACCAATAACTTCCTTCGTCATTTTATCTAATACACTTGCAACCGCTTTAGGAGAGGAAATATCAGCACTATCCACTTTGATATCATCAATCCCTCTAAAATAATACATCATATTATTGGGGCCTGGTATCAATTGCACCACCTTAGATGCCTTAATATCAGGTTTTTCTTTAGGATCATCTTCCTTTGCAGGGAGATTCAAATCCATCGCTGCAGGCTTATTAAAGGTAGTTACTAATACGAAAAAAGTAATTAATAAGAACCCCAAATCCACCATCGGAGTCATGTCAACCCTTGTAGATAGTTTTTTTGACCGTTTCTTGCCACCCTTGCCATGCGAATCGCCACCCTGAGCTATTTCAGCCATGTATAATCATTTTTTAGAACGTTAGCAAATTTTAAAATTTCACTTGAAAATACAATAAAAACATTATATCGCTCATCTTAGTGATGTTCCCCGCTACTGGCAGCAGGTTTTGCTCCTTCTTCACCACCTTTCAGAGATGTAACCAAATTGAATTTATTTACTTTTTTATCTACAAGTGTGTCCATAATTTTTTTCATTTTTGGATATTCTGTCGTACCATCACCTTTTACAGCTACAGCAATTGGATCGCCTGTTGTAATTTCACCCCTCACACGAAGTTCATTATCTGCGACACGCCCAGCAAATATCCAATCTGCCAATTCATTTCGTTTAAAATTACTCTGAATCGAATCTATTGGAATACCTGGACTGCCGGTTTCATCATTTTTAATTTCACCATCAAGCAACTTAGGTAATAGATGAAATGGCACACCAAAATTTTCTACCTGAACAAAAGCCTTCTTTTGTTTTTCTGTAAACTGAACCGTTGGATAGGCTGCCATCATGCGTTCTAATGTTTTTTCTCGCACTTTCTGGTTATCAACGCCCCAAAACGCCCGTCCATCTTTAGCAATGGTCAGCAACATTACCCCTTGCTCTGGGAGTTTTTTTTCTGCACGCGACCCAGGCATATTAATTTGAACAGGCTCGGCGGGACGAAACTTAGATGTCAAGATGAAGAATGTCAATAACAAAAATGCTACATCACACATCGCAGTCATATCCACCAATGTAGATTTCCGTGCTACTTTTACTCTAGGCATTATTTGTTTCCTTTATTAATAGTTAAAAGATTATTTATGTTTTGCTGCAAACGTGGAAGCAATACTAAAGCCCGCTTCATCAATAGCGTAAGTCATTTTATCAATCTTTGTTGTAAAGAAGCTATACATAATCATCGCCACAACAGAGGTAGTAATACCCAGTGCCGTATTAATCAAGGCTTCCGAGATACCTTGCGAAAGCGCGACCGCATCAGGATTGCCTTGCGTGGCAAGTGCCGAGAACGCACGAATCATACCAATTACTGTACCCAACAAGGCAACAAGCGTACCCACAGAAGTAAGTGTAGCCAGAATAGGCAAATTTTTCTCGAGCATTGGCATCTCGAGAGATGTAGCCTCTTCTACTTCTTGACGAATAGCCAGCACTTTCTGGTCAACATCCATGCGCTGGTCAACTTCCATATCTTTGTATTTCATCAAACTTGCACGCACGACATTAGCTACGGAGCCTTTTTGTTTGTCACATTCGCTAAGCGCAGCGTTAATGTCATTTTTCTCTAAATTAAACTTAATCTTGCGAATAAAGTCTTCCACATTCCCATTTCCTTTCGCCTTGTTCAGGGTCAAAAAACGTTCAATTGAGAAAATAATCACAATGGTAAGTAACCCAATTAAGATAGGTACGATAAAACCACCTTTGTAAATAATACCCAAGATATTTCCTTGCAATGGATGCCCATCAGGATTGCCACCTACAAAGTTTGATGAACTACCCATGATAAACTTCCAAATGATGTATCCCAAAACTAAGGCACCTGGAATTACAATCGAAGCAAGGTTTAAGCTCGATTTACTGGCACTGGTTGATGCTGCTGTAGTAGCAGCTTTAGCTGGTTGGCTCATAAAATTTCCTTTACGTTAAAATTTGGTTAATAAATAAATTTTTTGCAATATAAGATCGCGTATTTCGATGCAATTATAATTTTTATCTCTAATATTGAGAAATTTTATTTGTTATTTTTTATCAATTTTTTTCAAACAATACATGGCTTTCCTCAGTTTCATACTAAAATTAAAAAATGTATCGCAAAACAAAGTATCTGGAGGCTTATTTTTTCTAAAAATAAAAAAACGCTTTCTAATTCTTGACGCTAAGGTAAAAAATTTTAATTGATTTACTTTCAATACTTCCAAATTTTTTTTCTTTTTATTTTTCTTTTTTAAAATTAAATATCTAAATTAGATGAGATACAGACTTTTTGGCAAAACAGGTTTGAGGGTGTCCGAATTATGCTTGGGTACGATGACTTTTGGCACAGAATGGGGCTTCGGTGCCGACTATAATACCAGCAAACAGATATTCGATACCTTCACTAATGCCGGAGGCAATTTTATTGATACCGCCAACCGCTATACAGAAGGCTCAAGCGAAGAATTTGTCGGCGATTTTATCCAATCTGACCGCGACCATTTCGTCGTTGCCTCCAAATATACCTTGTTTGACCGCAAAAACGACCCCAATTTTTCGGGTAATCATCGTAAAAACTTGCTGCGCTCTGTGGAGGTCAGCCTTCGACGCATGAAAACAGAATATCTTGATATTTTGTGGCTACATGCCTGGGATTTTACCACGCCTATCGATGAAATTTTGCGCGGTTTAGACGACCTCGTCCGCGCCCGAAAAGTATTATATATCGGTATTTCGGATACGCCTGCATGGATTATTTCGCAGGCAAATACTATCGCTGAATTGCGTGGCTGGACTCAGTTTGCAGGGCTTCAAATCGAATATAGCCTCCTCCAACGCACTCCCGAACGCGACCTCTTGCCTATGGCTAAAGCTTTTGATATGGCAGTTACGCCTTGGGGCACAATTGCGGGTGGCGCCCTTTCGGGCAAATATTTAAAGGGCGGCAATGGTCGAGTAACGCCTGATAGTGTTCGCCGAAATGAACATAGCAATCGGATAGCCGAAGAGGTTGTTTATATCGCCGAAAAAATTGGTGCTACGCCAGCTCAAGTTGCTATCCAATGGGCGCGCCAGCGCAATCAAACGATTATTCCTATCGTTGGTGCCCGTCGCGTCGAGCAGTTGAAGGATAGTTTGGGGGCAATTGATTTTATTATTCCTGATGAATATATGCTCAGATTAAATGATATTTCTGATATTGAAATGGGGTTTCCTCACGATTTTTTGAGCAATGAATCTATGAAAAATATTATTTCGGGCCACACATGGCAGTTGCTTGACAAATAAAATTTAAATAACACCATTGGATATTTTTGGCACACAGCAATGCAGAAATCCTTTCTCGACAGTCGTGTGCCAAATGCTTCTTGACCAAATTTTTTGAACGTGGCTAAAAAACGAAAAAAACTTGCGAAAAAACTCGGGCTGCCACCCGGTACCTTGATTTTTACTGGCGAACAAAAACTGTCACAAACGCTTGCGACCGCCGTCAAATATAATGACGATTTTTTTTTTAAGAAAAAACTAAATGGAGATATTACAACCGCTACGCCCGAGCCTTGCTCAACGGATACAGTGCTTTGGTACAACATAATGGGCGTGCATAACATAGCAACAATCAGTCATTTAGGAGAAGTTTATGGCATTCACCCTTTGGCTTTAGAAGACGTCGTAAATGTAAGCCAACGCCCAAAATTTGACGAATATACAACGGGGCTTTTTATTGTTATACAAGATTTTTCTTTTCAATCTGATACCTCTACGCTTTTTTCTCAGCAGGTGGCACTTTATGTTGGAGAAAATTTTATTTTTTCTTTTCAAGAGAGTGATAATGACATTTTTAAAGAAATAGTGGCGCAATTAGAACACAGCAAAGGGCGAATCCGCAAAAAAAAGGTAGATTTTCTGGCTTATTGTTTGATTGATAGCATTGTAGATAATTACTTCCATGTGGCAGATGCTATCGAAGTAAAAATAGAAGAATTAGAAACCGAAATTTTGAGCCGCCCCACCCAATACTCCAAAGAAAAAGTTTATCATCTCAAGCGAGAAATCGTACCTATGCGCCGCTCTGTCATGTCTTTGCGCGAAGCCATTAATAAGTTCATCTACTCCGAACACGATATTATTGATAAAAATAGCCTCCATATTTATTTGCGGGACTTACATGACCACGTGATACAAATTATTGATATTGTTGAAAATCAACGCGATATGTTGATGGGATTGAATGAACTTTATGCCTCCGAACTGAGTACGCGCATGAATAATATTATGAAATTGCTTACTGTTATTTCTACTATTTTTATCCCACTTACTTTCATCGTGGGGGTGTATGGTATGAACTTCGAGAATATGCCCGAACTCAAAACTCGCTATGGTTATTTTATTGTTATGGGTGTTATGACGTTTATTTTCATCGCCTCAATATGGTATTTTCGTAAAAAAAAATGGATTTAAATTGTTTGGACATAAAAATAGATAGAAAACAGATTAAGCGAACTGAACGGATTGACACAAATTTTTACAAAAAACAACTTTTTTTATATTTTTGCCTCAAAGTTAAAACTTTCGCACGCTGTGCGTGGTTTTAATCTTTACGAATTTTAAAAGATAAAAAATCCTTTGAAAAAAATAAAAATTAGTGCAGTTAGTTATCTCAATACTAAGCCTTTTTTGTATGGCATCTTCCAAAGCCCAGTTGCTTCGGTCATTGATTTGCAGTTAGATATACCTTCTGTTTGTGCCAAAAGATTGCAACGTGGCGAGGTGGACTTGGGCTTAGTTCCTGTGGCAGTCATTCCCGAATTGTCGTCACCACATTTGGTTTCTGATTATTGCATCGGTGCAGTAGGAAAGGTAAAAACGGTCTGCATTTATAGTGATTGCCCCATCGAACAACTAACACATATTTATTTGGACATACATTCGCGCACCTCAGTTGAGTTGGCAAAAATTTTATTAGATGAATATTGGCAACTCAACCCCATTTTATTGCCCACCCAAAAAGACTTACTTCCACCCATCGGAGGCACAACGGGTGCATTATTGATTGGTGATAAGACGGCAGGTTTGGAGCAGCAATTTGCATATACTTATGACTTGGGCGAGGCTTGGCTAAAACACACGGGTTTACCTTTTGTATTTGCAGCTTGGGTCAGTAATTATCCCTTGAGCGAAACCTTTATTCAGGCATTTAATCAAGCATTGGCACAAGGTATTGCCCGCATTCCCGAATTGATTTATTTATTACCTCCACCCCACCCTACTTTTGATTTAAAAGATTATTTTACCCATAATATTAGTTATACGCTGGACGATTCTAAAAAACAAGCCTTATCTTTGTTTCTGGAGAAAATGATGCAAAAACACGTCCCTGCGCTATCAAAAATGACAATAAGATAGAGCCCAATATTCTATTTCGCCTTAAAAACCAAAATAAACTATGAAAAAGTTGATCTTCCTTTTTTTGGGTCTTTGTGCATTCACCGCCTTTTATATCACCAAACGCAGCCCTAATTCTTCGCTCTCAAGCACCGATAAAGATTTTGCTATCGCTGATTTGAATCAAATCCAAAAAATTTTTTTAGCCGATAGAAATGGTCAAAAATTATGGTTAGAACGGCAGCCCAACCAAACTTGGCAAGTCAACCAAAAATACATTGCACGACCAACAGCAGTACAAAATCTGTTAGAAGTGGTGCAAAAAGTTCGCATAAAATACGTACCACCCAAAACTGCCGTCGAAAATATTGTAAAAGACCTCGCTACCAATGGCATAAAAGCTGAATTTTACGGAAAAAAAGATGAAAAAATGCACTGTTTTTATGTTGGTGGTGTTACGCCCGATGAGCGCGGAACGTATATGATTATGGAAAATGCCGAAAATCCTTACGTTGTTCATTTGCCAGCATGGGACGGTGCACTACGCGCACGTTTTTTCTTAAACGAACAAGATTGGCGCGATAGAACGGTTTTTGCGGGCGTTTCGCCTGAAAACATTAAAAGTATTGAGATTGATTATCCGCAACAACGAGGCGAATCTTTTCGTTTGGAACGGCTAAATGATGGGAATTATGCGGTTAGCCCACTTTCTCAACACCTTGCGCAAGCGCAACGACCACCCAAACAAGGTATTGCACAAAGTTATTGTATTGGTTTTGAAAATATTGGAGCAGAATCATTTGAAAATCAATATGTTGGACGAGATTCTTTATTACAATTTACACCATTTAGCACCATTTCCGTCACGACCCAGCAAGGGCAGCAACAACAATTAAAACTGTATCCACTGCCAAAATTTGACCGCGACGGGCGTTATGTTTTAGATAAAAACCAAAAACCTATTATAGAGCGTTATTTAGCATTCCGACAAGATGGCGATATTTTATTAGTACAACAAGCTGTTTTTGAACGTATCTTGCGTGGATATTCTTATTTTTAATTTTTTTATAAAAAAAGTTTCTTGATAGCGGTTGCATCTTCTGGTTTCAGCCGACCACTCAAAAGCAAGCGAAGTTCGCGCCGATGAGAGGCTTCTTCAAATAATTTTTCTTCTTCTTGTGTCAACGGAATGACTTGAGGCACGAGCTGCGGTTTATGTGTTACATCTTCGATAGACACAAAAGTCAGAAAAGCATGATTGCATCGCCTTGGGTTTTGCCCCTTAATATCTGCTGCCGAAACCTCAACATACACCTCGACAGACGTATTGAAAGCTCGCGTCACACTAGCTTCAATCGTAATCACTTCACCTTGAAGAATGGGCTGCTTGAATGACACATGATCAACAGAAGCCGTCACGACTTGTGCCTCGCAATGTTTACCTGCACAAATTGCTGCCACAATATCCATCCACCTCAAAAGATTTCCACCCATGAGGTTGTGCATAGGGTTGGTATCATTTGGCATGACCATTTCAGTCATAATCGTTCTGGACTCGTTCACGCGTTTATCCTTCATAAAAAATAAATAATTTTATTAAAAATATTTTAATTTTGAGCAAATGTTAATTGTCAATATTAAACAATTAGTTGGAATACGTCATCAGACGCAATTGTTGCGCGGCAAAGATATGGATTTTTTGCCAACCATTCATCAGGCATTCTTACGCATTGAGGGCGAAAATATCATCGATTTTGGGCGCATGGAAGATTTACATTTTAACCCTAAAAATGACGTAATTTATGATGCTTCAGGTCAATTTGTTTTGCCTTGTTGGTGCGACTCACACACACATTTGGTCTTTGCGGGTAGCCGAGAAACTGAGTTTGTAGATAAAATAAAAGGTGCGACTTATGAGGAAATTGCCCAAAAAGGCGGCGGAATCCTCAATTCCGCCCAATTATTGAACGAAACTTCTGAAGAAACACTTTTTCAGCAAGCATGGCAACGTCTGGAGGAAGTAAAAAATTTGGGCACTGGTGCCATAGAAATTAAAAGCGGTTATGGCTTAACGGTAGCAGGCGAGTTGAAAATGCTACGGGTCATCAAACGGCTCA